CTTATAAGCATTCTGGGTTTATTTTATGGCAAATCATACATAAAACATAGGCAAGTATGGGCATAAAACGTGTTAAAATCACAGTTATCAGCGGGTGGCTTTAAGACAATGCCAAGCCCGGACCCTTTCACATTCGAGGCACTGTCCGTGAACAGGGTCCATACCCCCGATGATGTACCCAAACTTAGCAGGAGTTCTTTCTCCACTTTGGGTATGAGGGTCGACGAAAAATCAGCCACGACGTCAGCTAGGATTTGAGACTTGATGGTCGTTCGGGGTTGATATTCGATATCGTACCTGCGAAGTTTGACGGCCCATTTGGCCAACCGACCCAATAACTCGGGCTTATGCAAAATATTTCGAAGGGGGTAAGTTGTTAATACACATATGGAATGACACTGAAAATATGGTTTTCACTTTCTAGATGCGCTTATCAATGCAAGTGCTAGTTTTTCTAAGTGAGTGTATCTAGTTTCAGCATCCCCTAAAGTTCGGCTCACATAATAAATAGGGAATTGCGTACCTTGCTCTTCTTGAACTAGTACACCACTTATCGCTATCTCGGACACTACCAAGTATAGGTAATGTTTTTCATCTACCTTCGGGGTATGAAGCAAAGGCGGGCTCGATAGATATTGCTTTAATTCTTCTAAGGCTTATTGACATTCCGGGTCCATGCAAAATCCTTTTTCTTTTTTAGCAAAGAAAAGAACCGATGACTCCGATCTTATCACCTCGAAATGAACCGACCCAAGGCAGCAATTATCCCGTTAGCCTTTGCACGACCTTCACACTATCCATGAACGTGATATCCTCAATGGACTTGATCTTATCGGGGTTAATTTCGATACCCCGATTATACCATGAAGCCGAGGAACTTACCTGAGCCAATTCCGAAGGCACATTTCTCCGGGTTAAGCTTCATGTTGTACTTTCTCAAAATTTTGAATATTTCCTGCAAATGAGTCAAATGGTCCTCTGCGCGCAGGGACTTAACCAACATATCATCAATGTAAACTTCCATTGTTTTACCTATTTGTTCTTCGAACATTTTGTTGACTAGGCGTTGATATGTATCTCCCGCATTTTTTAGCCCAAAGGGCATTACGTTGTAACAATAAGTTCCAAATTTAGTAATAAACGAAGTCTTTTCCTGGTCCTTCGGGTTCATCTGAATCTGATTGTACTCGGAGTAGGCGTCGAGAAAATTTAGGATCTCGTGGCCGGACGTGGCATCGATCATACGATCGATGTTGGGAAGTAGGAAAGAATCTTTCGGACATGCTTTGTTTAAATCCTTGTATTCTACGCACATCCTAAGTTTATTTCCTTTTTTAGGCACTACAACTACATTGGATAACCATTCGGGGTATTTTACCTCCCGAATGGACCCTATTTTAAGAAGTTTGGTTACCTCGTCCTTTATGAACGCATGTTTCACCTCAGACTGGGGCCTCCTTTTTTGTTTTACCGATTTGAACCTGGGGTCGATGCTTAGCCGGTGTGTGGTGATTTCCGTTGGAATCCCTGTCATATCTAAATGGGACCAAGCACAGCAATCCATATTATCAATAAAAAATTAAATGAGTTTTTTCCTGAGTTTGGGGGTTAATCCCGTTCCTAGGTATACCTTTCTCTCAGGCATGTATTTGATCAGTATGACCTGCTCCAGTTCCTCGACAGTTGATTTGGTTACATCGGACTCTTCGGGAACGACGAAGGTTCGAGGGGTAAGGAAATCCTCTTCTTCGTCTTCGATTACCTGTTGCTCCGATTCCGTCGAGGCTGGGGGCGGTGATTGCTATTTAGCCGCTTGCTTATCTTTGGTGCTCGATTTATCCGAGGTCGAAGGCTCTGGTATCGGCACCACCTCCTTGACTGCAAACATCACCTTTGCAACATGTTGCTCTCCATAAACCATTTTTACTCCCTCCTCTATTGGGAACTTCATCATTTGGTGAAGAGTTGAAGGTACTGCCTCATGTTGTGTATCCATGGTCTCCTGAGGAGTGCATTATACCTCATGTCGCCTTCGATGACATGGAATTTCGTGTCCGGTATGGTTCCGGCTACGTTTACTGGAAGGAGTATTTCCCCCTTTTGTTGTTTCGCTTGCCATATTGAAGCCATTAAGGACCCGGGACACAAGTACAATCTGATCTTGTAGGCCAAGTTATTCTATGACCCTCGATCTAATTGTGTTTGTTAAGCTACCTGGATCCACTAGAACACGTTTAACTTGAATTTTATTTAAAAGGATAGAAATTACCAGGGCGTCATTCTGCGGTTGAGATATGCCTTCCGCTTCCTCGTCACAGAATGATAAGGCGTCCTCGGGCACATAGCTCCGAGTCCATTTTTCTCTGGCGATCGATACCTTAGTGCGTTTGAACACAGGTCCTTGCGGGACGTCGACACCGCCAACGATCATGTGGATTACATGTTGTGGTTCTTCCTGCTCATTTTTTCTTACATCTCTCTCCCTGAAGTGGTTTTTAGCTCGATCAGTGAGAAATTCTCGAAGGTGACCCTCGTTGAACAGCCGAGCTACCTCCTCCCTTAGCTGCCTGCAGTCTTCGGTTCTATGGCCATGTGTTCCATGATACTTACACATCAAGTTTGGATTTCTCTGAGAAGGATCGTTTGGATAGGTCTGGGCCACCTGGTATCTTTGATTCTTCCAATAGCTCACACGATCCCTGATGCGTCTACACTGAAATTATACTCTGACAATCGAGGTGCCTCCGCGGGATCAGTATGTTTATCGAACCCTCTCTTACTCACGAGTCCCCGAGAGCTTTGACCTCGATCGTTTCTTCGATCATTCCGAGGAGCATTACGACCCGAACCATTGTTTCTCCGATCAATATACGGCTGATATCGTTCTTTGTTTGACCTCGATTCCCTGTTTGTATCCCTCGGGGCTTAGCTGTCGACCTGTTAGGATGAACTGAGCCCGAATGGGCTCCCAACTGGTCGTCCTCGACCCTAATCTTTGATTGGTAATGGTTATGTACGTCCGACCATGTCACAGCTGGATACTCGATCAAATTCTGTTTTAATTGTCGAGACGCAATCGAGCTCCTTTCATTCAAACCCTGCGTAAAGTCTTGTACTGCCCAGCCATCCGAGACTGGTGGTATTTCCATTCGCTCCATCTGGAACCTATACACGAACTCCCTCAGTATCTCGTCGTTCCTTTGTTTTATCTTGAAGACATCCGATTTTTTCGTTGCCACCTTTATAGCCCCGGCGTGCGCTTTCACGAAGGCGTCTGCTAACATAGCAAACGATTCAATAGAGTTAGGAGGCAAGTTGTGATACCAAATCATAGCTCCTTTTGACAATGTTTCTCCAAACTTTTTTAACAATACTGATTCGATCTCATCGTCGTTCAAGTCATTTCCTTTAATCCTGTAAGTATATGAAGTAATATGCTCGTTAGGGTTGGTTGTCCTGTTATACTTGGGTATATCGGGCATGCGGAACTTTTTAGGGATGGGCATCGGATCCGCTCTGAGGGAATGGTTTTTGTATGAACTTTTTTGCATCTAAACCTTTCAAAACTGGAGGTGCCCCCGGTATCTGGTCAACATGGGAGTTATAAGTCTCCACCTTCTTATCATTGTCCTCAATCTTCTTTTCCTCGGACTCGATCCTTTTGGTGAGCTCTTCGAGCATCCTCATAATGGTGGGGTCAGTCCCCGAGTCATTTCCGTTCGACCTCTCTAGTACTGGTTCAGCTCGTCGAGTGTTTTCTGGTTCAGCTATACTCGGAGTTTTATTCTGACTTTGGAGTTGAGCGATGACGATCTACTGAGCTTGCAACATCTCGAATATCACTTGGAGACTGACTCCCCCATCTCCTATACCTGGTGTTCCTTGGCCCCCAAATCGGTCTTCTCTGCGTACACTCCCTCCGGGGTCTGCGCCTAAATCTGCATTTAAAGCAATGTGCGAACTAACGTCAACTGGTTCCATATTTGGCACTTCCCCAGGGTTTATTGGTGGTACACCGACCCCTGCATTGTTGTTTTCCCAATGAAATCCAAGACCTTCGCTATCATGAACAAGTGTATTTTGCGAGTTTGACATGTTTAATCCTGAGAATCAGAAAATCTTGACAAGAAAAATTGTAAAAATAACGTGTGTAATGAGAATCAGTAAAGAAATAATTACTATTATCTTTAGCCCCACGGTGGGCGCCAAACTGTTTACCTCAAAAATACGAGTAACAATTAAATTTGATTTGTGATTTTAAAGATATGTGATTTAGTTCAATACCAATTAATAATCAAGAAATGTGAGGTATAAATGAAAGAAACAAGTGAATCAAACCAGTGTTACTCAAGCAGTTTTGACCTCGAGCTTAGACCTCGAGATAAACCAAGAACAATAAAGTAAGAACAGTAGAGAGAAAAGACAAGTCTGATGAGCAATGAGCTAGAAAAGTAAGATAGTATATTCTTTGCCAATGAATAGATGATGTTACAAATGATTGGGATGCCCTTTTTATAATAGGGAAACTCTAAATAAGGTACAATTCTATTTACAGTAAGGAATATTATTGGTACAGCTGTCTAACCGCCTAGTATGGAATCGTACAATTTTATTCCTGGATTTACGCCATGATCTTGGGGACGTGGCAGGAATCTCGCTCATTCTGTTAGAAATCCATAACGACATTATTTCGAGGTCGAGCGTACTCGGCTTCGGTATTCATCGCACTCCGATCCTCGGGCCTTGCATCCTATCTTCGAGCTCGAGTCTGATCCATCGGGCTCGAAGTCGACCTTGCCTGAATTCGGAATTAAGGCGACCCCTTGAGCCTATAGATCGAAGGCATATGATTTTGGCCGTATACAGTAACTCTTTATAATAAGCTATAACTAGGTAATAAAAAAAATAAAGTAAATAATCTGTTATAACAAATTAAAATACAATATTATTATACTTTCCGTGTAAAACTGTATATAAATTCAAAACTTGTAGTAATAAAGACCAAGTTACTCGCCCTGAGGACCGGAGAATTGAAACTTTTTGACTTTGGGCGATCGATAATGGAGTGGGAGAGTGACGATAAAGAACTAAAGGCGGCCGGAGCTGAACCTCTGCCGGACGGCCGTCGAGGACTCCGCATTCACGGTTGGGATATCGAGTCTCGCAAGCTTTGCATTCTCAATTCTCTTCATCTTCAACGGTTTTCTCCTTTTCAAGTCGATTAACCCTCATTTGTCTTTCACTGGACTTATAATGATTCATTTTTGCTTGTTTCTTGTATTATTAACACTTATAAACATCTAATATCCTACTTTCTTAAGCTTATATGATTTCTGCAAGCATCGGAGATTCTGGTGCTTGTTCTGTTGCGTATAATGAAGAGTCTACATAGGGATGGCAAACGGGACGGTAGGGGGCGGGGGGGGTTAAGGCTATGCGGGGCGGGGTGGGTTGAAATACTTTTCATAAAAACTTATGCGGGGCGGGTTGCAGTTTTACGCGGGTGTAAGAATTTTTCTTCTTATTCTGAGTTCCCTCTAATCACCATATGACCCATAAAACTTGCTTCTCAACAACTTTGTTACAGAAGACCTCAAATGCCTCTTTCAGAGCCTATAGAAGTTCAAAATTTAGACATCAGAAAGCATATCCCAATTATTCAAGGTAAAAAGCATAACTCCCCCAACAACAACAGTTGGATATACGTTGTGAAAGAGAGAGTTATTTGCAAAACAGTTGGTCATAAATGCCATATACTTGTCATGCAGCTCAATAACCTTCCTAAGTCGTAACAAAGACCTGAGGAAAGAGAGGGGTACACACGGTTGAACCATCTCTGTACTATTACATAAAAATTCAAATTAAGTAAAATTTCAGAGAAAAAAAAAACTTTCAATTTTTTGGTTGGTTAAATTGAAAATTGTAGCCAAAATATAAATAGGAAATAAGTAAACAAAATGAAAAGAAAAAACTTATGTGGTGCGGGGCGGGGCGGGTGGACGTGGGTCTATGTGGGGGCGGGTGGACGCGGGTGAAAATACTATGCGGGGCGGGGCGGGTTGAGATCTTCGCGGGTTTATGCGGGTTTGCCCCGCAACCGCTTGCCATCCCTAAGTCTACAGTTTGAACTGTAGACCTCGACTAGTAGTCAAGAGTCTACAGTTGTAACTGTACTGCACCTGGACTATTCCACTGGGATATGTGCTATGTACCACCAGCATAGGTACCGGGCAATATGGTTTAACTGACCATTGATAAATCAATCTGCCAACTATGACGGACCTGCAATTATTCCATATTATGCTAGAAAATCAACCTACCATAATCCTACTCCTTTGGTCCCAAATATCCTCCTTTGTCCCAATTTGGTACCAGTATGCTTTATGAAATCACTGAGCGGACTTTCTAATTGACTATTGATTGAAAGATAAATTAATTCCAGGCGCAGTACAAGTGTAGGACTTGAGTTAGATGCAACCATGAAATAAGAATTCAAGAGGAACCTCATTTACGGTTACGTGAATTCTAAGCGAAAAACTTGAAAGTGAGCAAGATTTTTGCTTTCTAGGACTCACCTTTTCTTCAATATGTACTAGACCTTTCATTCACAACAAACATCTGAATCATATTTTATATGGAATCTTAATGAACATTTGTTTTCTTCAATACCTTGCCAAGAGTTCCATGAACTTTGTGTAGTAGTTGGTGATGTTTTCGAGATTCAAGTGACCTGTCTTATTAGTAATGCTACGGCAAGAATTGGCTGCAGATTTTTTATGCCTTTACATAGATCCATTGATACTCTGTTTTCAAGCATCTGATATCTTCTTTATTGGAAAGTTCTAGTTCCTCTCTAACTGCTAATGCTCATATATATCTATATACACAGATGGGAAAAAGAACTTCAAACGTCTCACTTGCCGGAGATGGTATTTGGAGATAATTGTTTGGTGCTTAAACATGTGAATAGTGGCACAAAGTTTTTTTTCAATGCATTCGATGCTTTAGTTGGTTGGAAACATGAGGCATTGCCGCCTGTTGAAGTTCCAGCAGCTGCAAAATGGAAATTCAGGAGGTGGGTCTATGTTGTTCTATTTTTTTAACCTTATGCTACATCAAGGATTCTGCATATGTTTCTCCAGCTTTTCTGTTAACTTTTCTATCTATCATAAATGTTTAGAATGATCATGAAAAACCAGAGATAGCTATTTACCTGTACTTTGGTTTTGGTGGTTAACTTGCTTAGGGACTTCGTGCAATTCGATTGTTGAAAGTTTATTTTTTGTTTCACTCAAGCTGAAAAATGTCTATCAATAAGGAGGGCATTGAAGTTGTTCCAAGAGTTTTCAGTTTTTATTTTTTATTTTTTTTAAATTTTCTTTTATTGTGATTTGTTGCTAAAAGGGGGTTGGGGGAAGGGGTTCAGAACTTTTTTAAAACCTTGAACTGGGACTGTGGGAGTGAAGAACCCTCAGGCATGCAAGTTATGTATCCTTGAACAATGGAGCATCATGCATTAGGTTGGCAGTAATGTAATGGTTTTGTATGTTCTCTCCTGTAGTTCCTTCATATCTGGTATGTATTAATTATTCATCTCTTCAAATCCTACAATTTCAAGTTTGTGTATTCAATTACAGATAACATATATTATCTGTATTCCATTGTTGAGGAGGTAAGAGTTGTGACTTTGTTTGGTTAGCCTGGTTGGTGCTGACTGCAGAAATTAACACTTGAAGATAAGAACACTCTATTTACATTGTGCGGTTAAGTTTTTTTTTTCTCAATTCAAATGCGAGAGTGCTTCATGATTTGACACAGTGCACGCTTGATGAACATGCACCAATCAGACCAACAGTGAACAATTTAAACAAATGGATAATTCTTAAAGCTACTTCAGAAAACTTCTGCTCCTAAAGAAAAGCAACAATCTTCCATTTTATCCAACAGCGCCTCCTGTGTCCTTGTGGTCAGCATCAAATTGAAAGGCACATATTACTTCTTGAAAATATGGCTGTCGCTAACTCTAGAACTTAATGATAGCTATTTTATATTAGTAAAAGCACATGTAATGGCTTCTATCTGGATGTTGAACATTTCTAGTAACCGATGATTAGACTCATTTTTGAATTGTGAATGGATCTCCCTGACAAAGATGCTAACTTACAGAACCTTCAAAACTCCACGGTCTAGAGAAGATTGGGTCCTACTAGGATCAACTTTTAGGCCTTTGGCTGAATCAGTGAACTGCACAACATGAGACTATCACACCAAATGAGCACTTCCTAAGCTCAAATGGAGCCTCTCTTGCAGAAGATACAAACCTCCATAACTTTTGGGAAATGAACATACTTCTCTCTTTAGCTATACAACCAAATGAAACAATAAAAGAATCTCTCCAAGCATATATATACTCTGTAATGTTTGTGCGGCTATAAGACTTTTGAAACTTATGGTCTTAAACATGCGAGAGAGGGAGAGGGAGAGGGAGAGGGATAGAGGGAGAGAGAGAGAGAGTGTGTGTCAAGTGTCTTAATTGCCGTTTTTCATTTCCTGTCTAGAACTTCATAATAATCACAGAACTGGCAAACATGTCTAGCATCTCTTAGATCATTGAGATTGGGAACTGAAATGTCATGGACGCTTGGTGCTTTGTTTAACTATTTTGCTGATATAGAAATCTTTATTGACCAGGGAAAAACATATTGCTTTCATTTTCTAAGGTAAAGGTGAGTGTTCTGATAATGTTCACTTGCTTACTATTTTCTTTCTTTTTCTAACTCCTTTTGCCTTTTTCTTTTGTTTTTATTTTTTTGGTTTCTGCAGTAAACCTTTGCAAGAGGTGGTGCTCGACTACGACTATACTTTCACAACACCTTATTGTGGAAGTGAAACTGTTGAAAGAAATGTTGAGGTTTCTACCTTTTCCTTTGGAATAAAACTTCTTAAAGATTGAGAAGGTTTTGTCTTTCAAAGTTATCTTTTGCAGAATTTGTTAAGCCAATTGGTAATTAGTTTTGATGTGTTTAGCTTAGTAAGCTATATTATCAGTTGATTCTGTTCTTTCACCACTGGTTTTGACTCCGATATTGCATTTCAGTTTTACAACTTAGCAATGATCTGTGATGAGTTGATGCGTTATATGATTCAACATAAATTACTATGCTATCGATAACTGTTAGTCAGACACTCATTTAATTCTTACTCCGCACAAGGTAAGGTCTGCGTACACACTACCCTAGACCCCACGAGTGGAAATATACGGGATATGTTTTTGTTGTTGGTGAAACCATCTTGGTGTGTTATTGCTTAATATATCTTTGATTTGTCACCAATAAAAACCTTTTTGTCATTTTTCTTCCTCAATCATGTCTTTAATTACAGCTCCTTTGCTTTCAATAGATGTTTACTTATTCTTGCTACTATTGTGCGATCAGTGTGAAAGTGCAATACCTGATGAAGGCAGCAGCTGCATTCCATGGGAAGACTGTAAGGAGAAAATTGATTTGGTTGCATTAGCATCTAAAGAACCTATTCTCTTTTATGATGAGGTTGGTGACTCAGATTTTGGTGATTTCTGGGTCATGTAACTGAGCAGTCTCATTCATGTCAACTTGATACTTTTTCACCTTTCTAGCACCAAGGTTAATTTACTTCAATTTGAACAGATAATCTTATACGAGGATGAATTGGCCGATAATGGGATCTCATTTTTGACTGTTAAAGTGGTAATGTTCTCATTGTGCTTTTTATTAAACTGTGTTGTTATTTCAAACTTCCACAACATTAGTTGGTTTTAATAGATTTGGGCTGACTTTTTTAAGTTTCTAGAGAGTCATGCCTAGTGGTTGGTTCCTATTGCTGCGTTTCTGGGTGAGTGACTCTGCTGAACATTCTACATAAATAATGCTGTTGTTTACTGACGAAACCATTGCATCAGAAATAATGTCATGTAGCTTATATCTCTTGTTGATGGTTGGACATGTTCCTACAGCTTAGAGTTGATGGAGTGCTTATGAGACTAAGAGACACTCGTTTGCATTGTCTATTTGGGGAGCATAACAAATCCGTTATTCTTCGTGAAAGCTGCTGGAGAGAAACCACATTTCAGGCCTTGTCTTCGGTGAGTTTACACCCCCCCCCCCCTTTCTGCTCTCCATGCACAACAACACACGTGTCCAGTATAAATCTATCTATGAGGGCGCCCCAATTTTTTATCCTTTTCACGCTTGTGGACACTGCAACCTGTCTGGTATTCTGAATTTTGCTAGCTCACTGACATTTTCCTTAGAAATTCTGACCATCATAGGTTGTTTACTCATGTAGGGAATTACTAGTAATGACAGTTTATCTTTAAATTTCAGTGAAATGTTGGTTCATCCAACTATTAATATAGGCTGATTTGTATGTTGCATAATTTCTCAACAGTTTCTGATGCAGCGATAGTTGGATATTGTGGTGGGTAGATAAGTTGGCAGGGAGCAGAGACTGAGAGTGTAGGTTGCTAGGAGGGTTCAAACACAAAACTCATTAGGCCCGTGGAATAAGTTTGCTTCTGTGGCGAGAAGAAGAAACCAGATCCAAATGCAGTAAAAAGGGACGTGGCGAATTTAGAAAGAGACAAGCAAGTAGGAAGAAAAGGGTGCATGGTGAAGTTGGAGATCTGGCTATAACTCAGAGGGGTTCCAAATCTTATGCATATCACATCTGAAATTCATAATGATCTTCAATACCTAACTATTGCAACTACTTGTGTGCGCGCGCTTAATGCTTATTGTAACTAATAAATTGGAGACCAAGAACTTTTGCTGCCTATCAAAGTAAGGAACTAAGTATTGGCTAGACAATTTTAGACCTCTCTGGTATTTACTGAGAATTTATTAGACTAATAGTAAAAGACCTAACCGCAATAAGAATGACCTTACCATGCATAACACCTTAATAACCGAAGGGGTTCAAGGACAAAAGTTGTGCTTCCTTTTACCAGGGACGGCTCAACGGTTTTTGTGACCTAAAGCCAAAACATATTAAAAGGCCCTTAAATTTCTTTTGTAGAATCCATATAATAATGAGATACAAAGCAAACTCTTAGGACTTTGACCTAGTGGTAAGTGTACAACACGTGATGTGTGATTAGGTGCACGTCACGGTTTGGAACTGTCATAAATGAAAATATGTCATTAATTAAGTGGAAGAAGGTAGAGGGGGCACGTAATCTGTCAACTTTCGAACCTTGCACCCCATTACATTTAGGAATTTCTCTTATAAGGATGAAAAAACAAAAATTTCCTTTGTAATGGATGGATCAATAAAATATGGTGAAAAGAAATAGCCAATACATGAGTTCTCTTTTAGGGAAAAAAAATTAGATTTGATAACGAAGGTAAATACATCATTTGATTAAATGAGAGAAATTTATTGTTATTTATCATTCAACTGTATAAATTTAATTAAAACTTTTAAAATATTTTATTAATAATAATTACATAAAATATATGTGACACATAGTAGTACTTAAAATTGGGCCCTTAATATTTTGGGAGCCTAAGCCAATGGCTTCATTTGTCTTACCCATAGGCCGCCCCTGCCTTTTACCAATATTTCAGAAAAACATACTTGACAACTGGAACGAAAACTTTCAAAATTAATTGCAGCAACATATTTATGTGGCATATCACACTATTTCTTTTATAACATAAATAGTTACATCTAAAAGCACCTTTTAGGGACATTATGAACTTTCCCTTTTTAAGTACATTCCATGTCAATTTTATTGTCGGTGAGAAATTAGAGAGGGAGAGAACTTTAGTTGGTCCATTTAAGTTAATGAAATCTCTCTTCTTGTATGCCTATTGTTAGAAAATTCATTATTTTTACAAAATGCGCCGTGTCCAATTTTAGCACTATGCCTTAGATTATATGTTGGGATAGTTGTGATGTTGTGTTATAGTTAATTATTTGTAAGCATTCCCTTACTAGTCTTCTTAATATCTGCAGAAAGGATACCCTTTTGATTCTGCTGCATATAGTGATCCAAGCATCATCGCTGAAAGGCTTCCCATTGTAATGCAGAAGACTCAAAAGCTCAATATTATGGTGCCCTGTAAGCAGTAGTATGATCCTAGATTATCGTATAAGATCTTCTTTTTCATTCCCCCC